GAAGCCCGGAGTGAAATGACAAGCTTGCCATTTCACTCCAGGCATTTAGCCAAGCTTGCCATTCCCTCTGTGCTAAAAAGAGAGGCATTTAGCCTCGAAACGCATAGCCGACTGCTGACTGACATCCCCATCACCGAACGAGATGGACCGCTCTGTCCTCCAGTCTTGTGCCCGCTCCTAACGAACCACCATACCCACTGCTTGCCGACAGCTCTTAACCGCTAATAAGTGATACTCCCGCTCAGCCAACAGGTCCCAGCCTGGCCAGCTGAGTCCTCACAGCGCCTGACGGCACCAACACTTCCAGTGCACAGCCTGCCCGTCTACATGGCTGCATGACGCTACCTCCAGCCAACTGCATTTTTCTTGTGCTCCAGCCACAGGAGCCTTTTGTGACCTCAAGCTGTCAACACCATCTATTCTTCACCAACAGGGACCCACCACGACCATCAAACCGCGAGTCACCGGGGTTGATTTACTAACCTTATAAACACGCCACGAACAAGTATACACCTCTGTAGTGTGTTCCCTCCCAGCATGATCTATTGGTGGAATCTAGACACCTTTGTAGTGTGCACACACCCAGCAGGTGTGTTGTGCAAAGCCAAGCATGAATTGCAAGGTGATGTTGTGTAAATTAGCTCTACGTTGTGTTGCTTGCGTTGATGAATGCAGGAATGTAAATGCATGAGCTAACCATTTTTGTCTACACTGTGAAGCAGCATTACATATGCATCATGTGCATGATTTTTTCCATATATGGCATTAGTGGAAATATGCTTTTAGAGACTTTTTGGTTGATAAATAAGTTTTGCTGTGTAAAAATCACCCGCACCTGGTGCGTGCGTGTGTTTAGGTTAGTAAATCACCCCCACCGTCTCACAATTTTTGCATACATATTTCCTCTGTATTACATTGTAATTATTTCACAAACTGATCTATTAAGTATTACACATTTCTGGGTAGTAGTGCTACTTTTTTTTGCCTTCTCTATATCTACACACAGGGTTCATCTCCCTGTTTTAGAAGCTTGCTCACCCAAAACCATTAACGGTCACCACCACAGTAGTGCGCTTGCCATTTTTTCTGTTTTTATCCTGTATTTTTCTTGAAGATGTTTTGCTGGTCATATGACTAGCTTTCTCAATTCTGAATTAATGAAGCTAGATGGATGACTAGCGAAATGTCCAGTTGCCTTGATTTTTTTATTTGACAGATATACAATGACCTGGAGAGAACCTTCACAGACATGTATACATTTATATATCTTAGGTTTCACTTGGTGCCCACTAGATATCTCCTACTATGACTGATATTAGCAAATGTCAGTGGGTGCAGTAATCAATGCATTAATTTTATTGTGCAAGTCTGAGTGGGGGACACATTTGTAAGCAGTATTTTCACACCATGAATTCTCTGTGCCAGCTATGTTACTGTGCATCCAATGCATAAGTGCATCATTTACACGCACCGGCCACTTTATTAGGTACACCTTGCAAGTACCGGGTTGGACCCCTTTTTGCCTTCAGAACTGCCTTAATTCTTTGTGGCATAGATTCAACAAGGTGTTGGAAACATTCCTCACAGGTTTTGGTCCATGTTGCTGCAGATTTGTCGGCTGCAAATCCATGATGCGAATCTCCCGTTCCAGTGAACTCATTATCATGTTCAAGAAACCAGTTTGAGATGATGTGAGCTTTGTGACATGGTGCATTATCCTACTGGAAGTAGCTTTCAGAAGATGAGTACACTGTAGTCGTAAAGGGAGGGACATGGTCTGCAACAATACTCGGGTAGGCCGTGGCGTTTAAACGATGCTCAATTGGTACTAAGGGGCCCAAAGTGTGCAAAGAAAAGATCCCCCAAACCATTACACCACCAAAAGCCTGAACCGTTGATATAAGGCAGGATGGATCCATGATTTCATGTTGTTTAAGCCAAATTCTGACCTTACCATCTGAATGTCGCAGCTAAAATCGAGACTCATCAGACCAGGCAACGCTTTTCCAATCTTCTATTGTCCAATTTCGGTGAGCCTGTTCAAATTGTAGCCTCCGTTTCCTGTTCTTAGCTGACAGAAGTGGCACCTGGTGTGGTCTTCTGCTGCTGTATCCCATCTGCTTCAAGGTTCGAGTTGTTGTGCGTTCAGAGATGGTATTCTGCATCCACCGATGTAACGATTGAGTTTTTGGGTTACTGTTGCCTTTCTATCATCTCGAACCAGACTACCCATTCTCCTCTGACATCAAGGCATTTTCGTACACACAACTACCGCTCACTGGATATTTTCTCTTTTTTGGACCATTCTCTGTAAACCCGAGAGATGGTTGTGTATGAACATTCCACTAGATCAGCAGTTTTTGAAATACTCAGAACAGCCCGTCTGGCACCAACAACCATGCTACGTTGCTAAGTCACTTAAATCCCCTTTCTTCCCCATTCTGATGCTAGGTTTGAACTTCAGCAAGTCGTCTTTACCACGTCTAGATGCCTAAATGCATTGAGTTGCTGCCATGTGATTGGTCTGATTAGCAATTTGTGTTACCAAGCAATTGAACAGGTGTACCTAATAAAGTGGCCAGTGAGTGTATATACCACAGTTTCCACTTACCATAGAGACTCTGACAGCTGTCTGAGCAGGAGGGACCTAGCGGGTCTCTACCTCTATGAGCTTAATGCCTGTTGACATGGAGTCTAAAAGATGGGTATTTTAAAGCCCAAACCATGAATGTGAGGCCTCTTTAAACTTTATTGTAATGTTGAGTCAATTTTATTACATAGAAACTTCTTGAGATGTATTACTGAATAGTGAGGAAAGCCTATTTAGTGCTGAAGGTGTGAATGTATAGTGAATTTCTGGTGATTATACCAACCATACTGCAAGCAATTTTACATGAGTACATGGAGGCGAGAAACTAAAGCAATCTGAAATAGATGAATGGAGAGTTTAAAAAAATAAGTACCTTATACAGATGCTCACACATGGGCAGTTTTATGGCAGTCATTATATGGTCAATGCTTCTAAATTGTTGATGATGTTTGAAGCGCATTTAAACTTTAGAAAACAGAATATTGTAACAATGAAAATAGTGCTTCATAGGTATAAATTATTCTGGAATAGTACATCATGTAACAAAGTATGTAAGATAAAAAGAACTACAGTGTTAAATATTTCTGTTTTCATGTACAGAAAGTAAAAAATAAATCACACCAAAATACTTAAAAGAAGCCGAGGCGCCAGCTTCTCAAGTCTAAAAACTGGCACAAAATTCAGGCATATAAATGACCACTCGAAATAAATACAACAGAGGTGTAAAAATATAATATTAAAGAATGAAAAAGCAAGTGATCGCAGAAACAATTGCCGCACAAATGACTGGTATGACAAGCTGGACAATGTTTATTCCCAAAGTCAAAACATTCTGTAAACGAACACAGGCTTACAGAATGTTTCGACTTCTGGAATAAATATTGTCCACCTTGTGATACCAGTCATTTGTGCGGCAATTGTTTCAGCGAGGACCAGTATCAAGCTGCAGCGTGCTTTTCTTGCCTGCACAGACAAGATGCATGGGAATATGAATAGTGGCTGCTTCGTGAGTTTTGACAAAGCAAGTGATGTTCTGGATACCTTGTGTAATTAAAGTGACATTATAGCCTAAAATGTCATCGTCGTCCCCATGCTGGTGTAAGGACTTACCTTAAATGATGCCTCTTGATCCGATCATCTTCTTCTTTCCTGTAGTTTTCAGGAGTTCCTCCAGCGCTGGTGCCAGTCTCTGATCCAGCGCTGACTCCTGTCCCATGGTGTCTGTGCGGATGCACGCTGCCTCCATTGAATTTACCTTGTGTCTCTCCTCGTCTCCCGGCTGAAGATCTGAACTGCGCATGTGCCCGCCCCATGATGCTTTGCGGCCGGCTGAGAATCTTCAGATCTTTGGACGGGAGCGTGCGGCAGAAACACAGGTTAGTTTTAACCCTTTTGTAAACTTTAAAAAAATATGTTTTTGCATAAATCTGCTGATTGCTAGCAGTGCATTTATGCAAAAACACAAGAGGTTTTAATGATCCTTTAACGCATAGAATGTCTCTTCTTAAAAGACAACTATGAGGTAACCTTTTTATCCCATAGTTCTCTTAAGGGTCACGGGAGGGCATATTCTAACATCCTCCCGTGACCCAAAGCTTAGTATATAGCGAGATATTGGTCACTATATATCAAGATCGCCGCAGCCGGGCCGGATCCCGACAATGCTGTCGAGATCCACCCAGCTGCAGGAGTGACAGCAGGCTCTGCCTATCTAGAGACAGAGCCAGCTGTGCCCGCACCCTCCCCCGTCCATTACTCTATTCAGTGCTGGAGGATTGGAGAGAAGAGGGGGGAATCTCTGACAGACTGACAGTCACCGCTCTCTGCAGGGAGATGACCACCAAAAAGTGAGCGAGCGGCGGTATGCGTTCGTTCACTTCCCGATCTATAGAGCCGGCCTGTGACAGTTTCATTGTCACAGGTCGGCTCGAACTATGAGGTTGAGTGAAAATCACTCACCTTCTAGGCTCGTTTCCGGTTTCCATGTTGGACTACAATCTCAATACAAATTAGTAAAGTAAATGTGAGATTGTAGTCCATCACAGGAGTGAGATTGGAGCAGTGGCTACTTTACAGCACACACAGGGACCATGGGGAACAAAAGTAGCCACCCTGCAGAAGGAAGGACAGTGTTGACGCCAATTCAGAGATGATTTGAGAATCTACAGCCAAGTGATACACAAATAAGATACATTTTTGTTAATAGTTAAGGTACCTGAATGCATTTAAGGTTTAACTCCTGAGTTTGTTTTTTGTGCAATTGAAAGTGACAATATAAAGCTTCTTGCAAAAAATACAGATAATGGGCTGTAAAACTACTGTTCAATAAAAACTTGGTTAGAATGGAGAATATATTTGGTATAGCTAAGGAAATGACATATAATGCCTATTTTTTTCTTCTACTTTTTAGGTTGGGAACAAAAACTTCAAAATGCTGTATACCGTGAGCTTACTGTGTAAGTAATACTGACAGTATTTTTGGGCTAGCCAAGTAGAGTAACTTAAAGAAGAAGTCTCACCAGGACTAGAGTCAGATATACATTTTCAGGTTGCCCTGGTATCAAAGGTTTGTGTGCCAATGTTTGGGTGGTTTAAAACTGATGCCTAGCTTGGATATAAAACTAGCATATGCCTCCTCAGCAAGCAGGATACAAATAGCTGTGTGTCAAGGCCTATTGAGGTCATAAAACCGCTATGAAATGCTGGCTGATCAGTGACACTGATCATTGGAAAAATGTATGCTAAAAGTGTGCATGAGTAGAGTTATTATCGCAGTGGCTAGGAGCCCCTCTGGGATTTATTGAATATACTTGTTTAGTACAGTGTTCAGTGTGATCATTTCCACCGAGCTACAAAGAACCTGAGACCAAGGACAATGAGAAATTGTATGACCTGTTGGACAAATCTTACATAATTTTGCAAGTATGGATGTGTATGCTGGAACCCACCTGATGAAAGTGTTCCATGGATAGACAGAGGGTCTGTATGTGTGAGAGTTGTGAAAATTATCTTGTTAGAGTCATTTAGTTAGAAAATGTCCTATATGTATATTACTCTTTGTAACTAAACCAACCACTGATTTTAGGATCCATTAGTCATTCATTCTTCTTGAACTGTGAACTTCCTCTTCAAGTAAGATGCAAGTGCTTTTCTGTGATGACCTAGTTATTGCCTGCCCTCAGATTTCAAGGGGCTGTGAATTTTGTTTTCAAAGCCTTAATCTGTTTTTTTTAATGAGCTAGAGTTGGTTTCAGAGTGAATCATTCAATAATCAGTTTGTTTCAACATTCCAATTGTATCTACGTGTAAGGGATCTTTAACAGAGTGCATGGACTTCTTGCCCAGCGCAACAGCCAATTTGTTTGCTGATTTGGTTAAGTTATTTTCCAGTCAGAGGAAACGGTGGTTCGAGTGAGGTGCAGTAGAGAAAATAACAGTTCGGGAGTTAAAGTCTAGTTGTGAAAAGCATTTGCTGAAGTAAGAGGCAAATCTCTTGTATGGCGGATAGATCGGACCAGGCCCTCCATGTGATGGCGAGAAGGTGTTTCCCTCGCCAACCTGGGGGAGTGTTGTAATGCTTGCAGTGTCCCCCTAGAGAATCTGAGATATACCCATCTGCAGGAAATGTAAGCAGATGTACATCCAGCTCCCTAGTGAGTCTAGCTGAGCTATACTAAGTGTCTTCCATGTTCTAAGCTCTATGTATGTACTAACTATAAGAAAAATAACAACTTGTGTGTAACAAAGCAGATGGCAGTAGCACCTGCTTTCACATGTATTGTGAAAATCAGTGGGTGACGGCAGAGTGAAAAGTTACAGAACCTTTGTATATGTGGTCACTTCTGAAGAGTGTGAGTGTGATGCCCTCTGTTGTCTTTTCCACTAAGATTGGAGAGCTGGTGTGGCAAAATGTAAAGAGTTCTACTACACCGTACTCGAGCACTGGCTGCTTCCCACATGGGCCCTGGGTCGGCTAGGGTGGGTACACCAAGTCTAGCATGGCTAGGAAAACCAGAACCTTTCCCTGTGCTGCTACTGATCAATGAAAGACGTTTAGGGCTAGTTCACACCAGATGCAGTTGTGATGCAGTCCGTTCAGTTTGGCAGCTGCATCCAAAATGCATCACAATGCTTTCCTATGGGAATTCTGGTGCTCTGTTCACACCAGTGCAGTCAGTTCCGATGCAGTCAGAAAGAATACTGCTTGCCCTATTTTATCTGCATCGTATCGCAACGGAACGCACCAAAACCGCATGCCAATCGTGGTAAAATGTATCGCACTGCAGCTGCACAGACGCACGCAGTTCTGGCATGAACTAGCCCTAAGGCGCATGAGGAAGTGTTGTTGCCTCAGAAAGCAACTAAGCTCTCCGTTGCTTTAACCAGTTGACATCCGCGGTGTTAAACCCCCTTCCCATCCAGGCCATTTTTCAGTATTCAGCGCTGCAGTACTTTAACTGACATTTATTCTGTCACGCAGCGCTGTACTGAAATTAATTTTATACCCTTTTTTGGGGACAGATAGAGCTTTCTTTTGGTGGTATTTATTCACCACTGGGAGGTGGCTACACACAGGGTCTTCTTTAATATTAATTGGGCTCTGGGCAAGATTTTACTGATGGGCCCCCACAACCTTCCCAGCTCCATCACTTCCCGACCCAGACCCCCATATCCACCTACATCACCTTCCCCTGAAAAGAAACTAATAAATAAAAGCACATATCCATGCAATAGCGCAATGGACTCAAGATTCTGCAACACAATAAACTCAGGAACGAAATGCACTTGGGACTCTACAATGCAATGGACTTAGGACCCTGCAACGCACTGGATTCAGGAGCCTGTAACGCAGTAAACTCAGGACCCGGCAACGCAATGGACTTAGGAGCCTGCAACGCAATGGACTTAGGAGCATGCAACGCAATGGACTTAGGAGCCTGCAAAGCAATGGACTTAGGAGCCTGCAACGCAATGACCTAGGACCCTCTTATGTTGCAAAGTCCTAAGTCCATTGCAGTGCAGAGTCCAGAGTTTTTTGCGTTGGAGAGTCCAACGTTTTTTGTGTTGCAGGGTCCTGAGTCCATTGTATTGCAGACTCCTGAATCCATTGCATTGAAGAGTCCTAACTGCATTTTCTTGCTGAGTCATTAATCCATGGTGTTGCAGGGTCCTAAGTCTATTGCGTTGCAGGGTCTTAAGTCCAATGCGTTGCAGGGTCCTGAATCCATTGTGTTGCATGGTCCTGAACCCATTGGGTTGCAGTCCATAAATCTGTATTGCATTAGTATTGCTTGTCCTCAAGCACTTACTGCATGGTGCATTGCATTTTTAACAAATGCCTCCTTATATATTATACGTAGAATGCATATGTTGCAAATGCAGTACACTGTGCAGGAAGTGTGCGGTGGCATGCAATGTAAATGCAACACAATGCATGCAGTATAAATTAAATGGATACATTAGTAAAATCACTGAATGCTTGCTGCGCGGTGTACTAAATACACCTTGCTGCAAGTGTTTAGTGATGTGGATGTAAATGCACAGCAATAATTATGAAATTAACCTTTATTTTAAACTGCATTAATAAAACTTGCTTTGCTTTAATACTTTATTATTGCAAATGAACATTAATCAATTTATTAAAGGACGTTTTTGGTTCTTTGGCTTGATTTATGTGTATTTGTCCGTGGAAATAAACATAAAAGCAGATCACTTAACATCCTTTATTGTTAGAAGGCATGCAGGAACTGTGAAGACACCAGCAAACTACTAACTTGGGGCATGCAAAAAATATGACTGGGAGCAATCATAAAAGTACAAAGTGTCACAGTCCAGATAACTGTCGCCACACTGCAAGATCAGACTACAAGAGTATAATGTAAAAAGATCTTATGTGGCTCCTATTAAAATGGGATTTGGACTATATATACTATATTATATTGCAACTATAAAATCATGACCAGCGGAGGTACGATTTTTCCCTGTCATTCTCCTCCAGAACACTTCAACAAATTTGGTATTACTTTTTTATAAGAAAGTGCAAAGAGCTATGATGGTATTATGCAACATGAAATAACCGACAGAGACCAAACAATAATGCATATCACAATGTAACCTGCAATAGAGACACTGAGGATCTGCTTAGGTTGTTTCTTCTGCTGGCTGTGTCCTCCCCCTCCTTCTCCTCCGTTCCTGCCGGATCTCCCAGGCATCCTCCCTGATGTCTGTGTCTATGTGACATGCATGGGGAGGGGGGAAGATCACAGAAGCAGGAGGCACACAGAGATTAACTAGAGGAGAAAGGACGGCCGGACGGTCTCCCTGTCAGCGGTGCCGCTGGGCTGCTCCTGTCTCACGCTTGGGCTAAAGGGACAGCTGTTTTGGGCCCCTGTAAATTATGGGGCCCAGGGCAATTGCCCCTTTTGCCCTGCGTTAAAGACAACCCTGGCTACACATAAGAATTTGTACTTCCTATTTTTAGTCATTTATTTTCTTTTAGATTGAACCAAACTTTGGAAAATGTGTGGCTTAATCAGGTTATTTAAAAAAATTTTTTTAGAGCATGCACAAATCTATTAAGAAAATATTTTAAAGCCTAATTCCAGTCAAATATTTGTTTTTGATCTAGATAGAGTCGGGGGAGTTGTAATTTCTGTCTGTGCCTCCAATTGGGAGATTTCCCTAAAGGAGAACTATGAGGCAAGTGAAAATCACTCAACCTCATAGTTCTAGCCGACCTGTGACAATGAAACTGTCACAGGTCGGCTCAATAGATCGGGAAGTGAGCGAACACATAACGTTGCTCGCTCACTTCTCGATCCTGTCCCTGCAGAGAGCCGTGACTGTCACTCACGGCTCCCTGCAGGGATTACCCCCTCCCCTGTTTGATCCTCCAGCGCTGATTGGTGGAACGGACGGAGGAGGGGGCGGGTCTGCCTCTAGATAGGCTGAGCCAGCTGTTACTCATGCAGCTGGGTGGATCCAGACAGTATGTCTGGATCCGTCCTGGCTGCTGCGTCTCAGTATACAGCGAGCTGTAACTCGCGGTATACTGAGCTTTGGGTGACGGAAGGACGCTAGTTTGTGTCGTCCCGTTACCCTTAGGAGAACTATGGGGAAAAGCACTGACCCCCACAGTTCTCCTTTAATCTCATGCTCCTGTGATGCATACACAGCAATAAAAGGCTTGCCAGATGTTCTAACCTTTTCTCACTGTACTAAAAATGTGCCCCTGTTGGAGAAATGTCCCATCATACCCTGTCCTGACAGCTAAGTTTAAAGAATTGTAATTTGTAACTAGAAACTACTGAGCCAGTATGGACCTATGTACATTTGTCTTTCCCAGACTTCCAGCTCCTTGTCACTCAGCAGCACCAGCTGAACACATTAAGGAACCTCTGGCCTACATGAGAAGGGCTCAGGTAGGTAGTGAACACCTAGATGGGTAAACAAGCATCTCTATGCCTTTAATCTGTAATCTATTTCTAATTCTATTTCATGGTCAGTCATGCATAGCGAGTCTTTTTAATATGACCTTTAATGCTAATAATATCGCCTGTTCATTTTATTAGGCTTTGTTGAGCGTGAGTAAAATAAAAATGGAAGTCAACTTGCAATTATCTACTAACATGCACAGAAAATAATACTTGATTATCAGGTAGAATGTACAATTTTCTGCTCAAAAGGGCTGCGTTAAAGGACTCCATTACCTCGCTGAATGACCCTGGAGCTATTCTGTTTTTTTAATTGTGCAGCAAACAGCTTTTTTGACTGTTGCTGAGCATACTTTCTTTTAATTTCTTATGATAAATTGCGTTTTCATGATGTTGCCTAATCTGGTTAGAATAGTTATCAAATCATTATTAGTAGCTTTGATTGTTTTGTGAAAATGAAGACAAAGAAAGAGCCTGAAAAAGGAAACTAACCACATGTAAGGACTCATAACCTGCAGTATGTCAAATGTTTCTTTTATTTTTTTAAATGCTGTAAAACATTTGGAAATACACGTAAAGCCACATTGCCACACCAAGGTATTTCTCCTGCAAAGTGTGGTAGCTAATGCTGGATTATCTGAACCACATATTTATCTCGTTATAATGGCACCAGGGAATTGGCGGGATATCTTAGGCAGCAAGTGAACATTTTGTTGAAGTTGATGTGTTGGGAGTAGAAAAAATGGGCTAGTGTAAGGATTTGAGTGACTTTGACAAGGGCCAATTTGTGATGGCTAGACAACTGGGTCAGAGCAACTCCAAAACTGCAGCTCTTGCGAGATGTTCCTGGTCTGCAATAATCAGGACCTAGAAAAAAGGGTCCAAGGATTGAAAACTGGTGAACCAACGACAGCGTCATGGATGGCCAAGGCTCATTATTGCACGTGGGGAGCAAAAGCTGGCCTGTGTAGTGCAATCCAATAGAAGAGCTACTGTAGTGACACTAAACTCAGCAGTTAAATATTAAAAATGCATTCAAGTACCCTTCCTACGGAGGCAAGCTTGGAGCGGCGGCTACCTTGCAACACACACAGGAACCATGGGGAACAAAACTAGCCACCCTCCAGAAGGAAGGACAGTGTCAGCACCAATTCAGAGATGATTTGAGGATCTGCAGTCAAGTAATGCACAAATAAGCTAATTTTTTGTTAATAGTTAAGGTACTTTTTTAAGGTTTAACTCCTGAGTTTAATGCCATTTTTATGCTGGTTCTGAGAGAAGGGTATCTGAAAAGTTCATCGCACTTTGTTGTGTATGGGGCTGCGTAGCCGCAAGCAGATCAAGGTCCCCATGCTGACCTGTGTCCACCACCAAAAGTGACTACAGTGGCAATTGAGCAACAGAACTGGACCACGGAGCAATGGAAGAAGGTGGCCTGGTCTGATGAATTATGTTTTCCTTTACATCATGTGGATGGCCAGGTGCATGGGAAAGAGATGGCACCAGGATGCACTATGGGAGGGAGGTAAGCTGGGGAAGGCAGTGTGATGCTTTGGGCAATGTTCTGCTGGGAAACCATAAGTCATGCCATTCATGTAGATGTTACTTTGACATGTACTAAGTACCTAAACATTATTGATGACCAAGTACACCCCTTAATGGAAACGGTATTTCCTGAAGAAAGTGGCCTATTTCAGCAGAAAAATGCGCCCTGCCACACTACAAAAATAAATCGGGAATGGTTTGAGGAACACAACAAGTGCCTGGAAAGTCTGATCCATGGAGGCCCACCCTCACAACTTACGGGACTTAAAGGATCTGCTGCTGAGAGCTTTTGTGCCAGATATCACAGCATACCTTCAGAGGTCTAGTGGAGTCAATGCCTTGACTGGTCAGGGCTGTTTTCTGTTTTGGTTGCAAAAGGGGTACCTACTCAATATTAGGTGGGGGGACATAAGGGACTCCTCCATATGTCCCCTGAGAAGATATGTTGTTGGCAGTGTAGTCGCTAAGAATACAGGATTTCAATAGCATAGGAATAATTGTATACTTCTGCCCATTACATCCCACTTTCTTCACCACGGTTGCAAACTGAGATGGGGGCAATTAGCGCAGACGATTGCTGCCTGATTACTTATTTAACAGAACATCAATACCAAATGCAAGGAGCAAACAAGTAATATTCATTTAGAGCAACAGAATGTTTGAGAAGGGCTGTGGGTATAAAACAATGCAATCATCTCTGAATTGGTGCTGACACTGTCCTTCCTTCCGGAGGGTGGCTACTTTTCTTCCCCATGGTCCCTGTGTGTTGTAAAGTAGCCACCGCCCCAAGTGTACTTTTTGTTTAACAGGATTTTAAATAATGCCAACAGTTTGTGCAGGGCTTTACAAAATCAAGTGAGATGGTAGAGTTACAAAGTGGTTCAAGAAAAAGGTTTATGATCTTGCTTGTGAGAGCTAATGATTAATAAATTCATTAAGTCCAGGGTCAGCGCAGCCGTCTACCAGGAGATTTTGGAGCACTTCATGCTTCCTTCCGCAGACGAGCTCTATGGGGATGCTGACTTCATTTTACAGCAGGACATAGCACCTGCCCACACTGCCAAAAGCACCAAAACCTGGTTCAATGACCGTGGTATTACTGTGTTTGATTGGCCAGCAAACTCGCCTGACCTGAACCCCATAGAGAATCTATGGGGCATTGCCAAGAGAAAGATGAGAGACATGAGACCGAACAATGCAGAAGAGCTGAAGGCCGCTATTGAAGCATCCAGGTCTTCCATAACACCTCAGCAGTACCACAGGCTGATAGCTTCCATGCCACACTGCATTGAGGCAGTAATTGCTGCAAAAGGGGCCCAAACCAAGTACCTAGTACATATGCATGCTTATACTTTTCAGAGGTCCAAAATTGTTCTATGTACAATCCTTGTTTTATTGATTACATGTAATATTCTAATTTTCTGAGATTGTGGATTTGGGGTTTTCATGAGCTGTAAGCCATAATCATCACAATTATGACAAATCACGGCTTGAACTATCTTGCTTTGCATGTAATGAGTCTATCTCATATATTAGTTTCACCTTTTAAGTTGCATTAGTGAAATAAATGAACTTTTGCACAATATTCTGATTATTCGAGTTTCACCTGTATATTCTAACATGTGATGGCAACCTGTGTGCTGAAGATAAACGGCTAGCACTCCACATGTATACATGAAGTAAACATTTTAAAGGTGTATTAATTAGGACAGACAGGAACCAGAAAACTCTAGTTAGCAAATATCGGAGAATAAAGGCAGCTCCCAATGTTATAAATGTAAAATGCGTAGTGCTCTTATTTGCAGCTCAACATTTCTTCATCCACATTCGAGTAGTATTTATCATATTCACAAGTAATTGAATTGCCACACAGATTTTTATCTTTAGGATGATAATTTTCTTTGGTCTGTATTGGAAAGACTACTAGACCCTTCGAATGTCAGTTTCAGAAGCATAACAGCAACATAAGGGTGGACCTGGAGAACCACTGTCTGCAGAGACCAATTAACTGCAACAAACCTGTAGTGCAGGGGTGGCAAACACAAGGCCCGCGGGCCGAATCCGGCCCGCCGGACCTTGTAATGTGGCCCGCGCAGGGGAGTGGAATTCGTATTGCCCGACGCCCGGGACATGTAGTTCCGGGCGCCGGGCAAGTGGTTTTTGCACCGTAGCAGGGCTGGCTTTCTTTGAGCGCCGAGAGCGGCGCTACGAGTTAATTTTGTTCATGTCCAGCACCAAACCCACAAATGTATTGACTGTGTCTGGTTAAAGTCATGTGCAGAATGGAGTGTGAGCATTGTGCACCTCCAATTAGGTTTAATAAAAAAAATGAAAACAATGACCACTGTGGAAATGCGTGATTCAATACACACTGCCAGGGCTGCCACAGCGCACTAATCTGCTTGCTAAAACGCAGTGCTTTAGGAGAGGGGCTAGTGTGAACGGGCTCTAAACCTAATTTCTCACTTTCATAAGCATTTGCAGTAGTATATGCAAGACACCTTATAGGAACAAAGGATTAACTAGGGCAGAAGGGCCCTTTTTCAGCAGACTTTCAAAATGTTTATCTGATCCCTCATTTCAGGCAAGCTGGGAGAAAAGAGTACTGAAAAGTTTGAACAGCATGTGCACAGAGCTCAATATTCCTCTTGCACGTAAGGTAAGTTTTTTTTTCATAAAACTTTAATATGAAGTGTGTGTATGTTTATGTTAATGTGTGTGTTTATGTATGTACAGTATATATCTATCTATCATGTCCATTGTATTGGTAATGATCTAATTTGAAATGCCATTGTAACATGATGCCTGATCGCTCATCACCCACTCCCTGTCCTAGGCAGCAATGGCATTTTTCATTACTTTGATATCATACATTGCCCTAAGGCACTTGACACTCTTGTGACCTCTATATTTCTGAACACTTTTCAAATAGAAATACATTTCACAACAGCTGTAAAAATGTAACTGCGGCTTTCTGAATTTTTTTTTTAATATTGTTCGACACACTTTTGAAATTGCTAACAGTTTATACCTGTAACTATTACTGTGTTGTTCATTTATGCTTGTACAGACATTTGAAGTATATGTTGTGTTAAATAAAAATGGACATTTTTTCCTTGTAATTTTTTTTCTTTTTCATTATTTAACATGTAGACGCTGGCCGATATAGGGTTTATTATGTTGGTCACATGAAATCACAGGTCCTCTTCCATGTCTTTTGTCTCTGGTGGTGGATGAGTCCTGAATACTTCAGAGAGTAGTGCCAAGTAATAACATGGCATCACTCCCTGCAGCATTTTCTAATAAGCACAGAGTGGCATAATGCCTTGTTCCCAGTTGGTGGGTCCTTGACAGCCTGGGTTCTTAGGAAGAGGGTTTAACTACGCTATTCACCAATTAACCCAGAAGACTGGTGGCATCTAGTGTCGGAGATGAAATACTGCAAGGGACAGCTCAAGATTGCAGGCCACTTTTTTATTTTTACTTGCCAAAGGGTAAGTTCACCTTTTGAATTAAATATACTGTGCAGCCAAGTAGGTTAAGAAAACACCATGTAGTTTAAGTGTCATACCTGTAGGCCATGAGTGACACCCCTAAAGCCTGTCCAAAAGGTACCACTGTAAGAGATTAGCCCCATCCTACCTAGAAGCCTGGATGCACTATTCTGTCCACTTCTGTATCTGTACCCAAAACCTTTCTTTTTAGTTTGGTATACAGTGGTGAAACGGACCTCTGCTAGAGAGAGATTGCCTCACTTTCTCTTCTGGGGACAGCCTTTTACCAGACAGGAAGTTAGGTGAAATCTTCAACAGGGAATCAGACATCAATAACAAGCTGAAAGAGGTTCTAGCATTCCCCTACATAAAGAAAAACATTTTTACATCTGTCTGTGTTGCAGTTGTCATTGTTGGAGAGTTTTTCCATCACTTCCTGTCCTGAAGATAACCATTTTGCCAGACAGGAAGTGAAGGAATCTCTCCAACAGCAGGAGTTCTATCCCCCCATTTCCTCCAAAACTAAAAAGAACGTCTAATAAGTAACTGGCCACATGAGTTCCAATGGTTTACTGCCCTTGGTTGCTGACCTCACCCATGCCTGTGCCCACATAGGGAGCAGGCAGCATCTGCCCTAGACTGGCTGCTGTAATACAGAGGTTTTTTTTTTCTTTTTGTACAGTTGTTGTGTAGCCTGGTGCTGTATTAAATGCCATTTAGGAAAATGATGGTACCAAAATGGTGGTTGGAAGCTATTTTGCTGTGAGAGTGAGTTGTAAGTAGCCAGCTGTGTGTTTGCAGATATTGCTCCCCAGTTTATCGCCTGTATTATTAATATGGTTTGTTATACAGTAAATCTTAGAAATGTCTATTTATCCTTGAATTTTATTATCACATGCTTTACATAAACAGACTGTGAATTTATGCTTAGCGAGCCTTTAAAATGCATTATAAAGAGCGGTGATGATGTGCACATTAGAAGAAGTCATAGCAGTCAGTCAGATTTTAATTTACTGTAGCCTGTTTGAAGATGAGTTCAGAGTAGTTTCTACAGATCACTGCACTTTGCCAATTTCTTTTTGCTTTATTAAATAAGCTTTTATTGCCTATCATTCATCTTCTTTAGTAAGCAAAATGTGTCATTGGTCCCAGTAGATATTTTAACCATCTGGGCAGCATTGTGTCTAAGTGGTTTATGCTCTTACTTTGCAGCATTGGGGTCTGGATTCTTTATGTGGAGTTTCTATGTGCTAACACATGATTATGTGGGTTTCACACAGGGACTTTAGTTTTTAAAAACTTGTTGTTAGAGTAAATGGTTTTAATGTGCAGTATACAGTATGTATGATTGTGTGTCTGTATACCTGCATGAGGCACACAGGACTGTAAGCTTCCTCATAAGCAGGGACTTAAGTCAGTAGTTATGCACTTAGTGGCTACTTTATTAAGTGAACTAATCTAGAACCCAAAAAGATGTACACATGGTTGGCAAGAACACTCATGTACGCTGTGGCATTCAGATAGTATTACGTTGGTTCTGAGGGGCCTATTACATGTTAAAAAAATTATACTATCAACACTGTATCCTGACCAATAGATGGATAGATCAATGGATTCATGCTATTTACACCACGTTGTCCTCCTGCCATATTTATAGCACAGAAATCAGTTCAGGCCAGGCAACAATAGCTACATGAGTCTTCAGTAACCCATTCAGGGTGATCCTGGGATTGCACTTCTACCAGCAGCCATGTCCCATCCTGATGACGTAGTCCCTGGTCCTGCGCTGGTTACATGATGATGTTGATGAGAGGCACAGAAACAAGACTGGTCAGAGACTGCAGTAAAGAGTGGCTTTGGTGGACCAGTGATCACAACCAGAACCTGCAGGGAAAAAGACTGCAAGACTATTACATTTTTTCTTTTTGGGGCGATGGGCTAAGGGTGGTGTGTGGGAAATAGCACGGAGAACAGCTTGAAGCAGTTACAGACTTCTGGCAACTCTGCTGTGACTTGTCTCATTTAAAGTGGTTTTCACTCACAGAACTAGAATTTTTTTTCCAAACAACTCTAGATACTGTAGTATGTAAAAATCCCTGGAAGTCAGCATTCTATGGTGTTATGGTGTAACAACCACATCTGGCACAGATAATTTACATGGTCAAAGTTGTCTTGATCACACATCTTTCCCATTCTAATGTTCTGTAGAACAACAACAACTGAACCTCTTAACCACACCTGCATCCTTTTGTGTATCCAATTTTAGCCATTAATCTGCTGTTTGCCTATTTGGATGACAAGCAGGTGTACTTAATAAAGTGGCCAGTGTGGGTATGCACATGTTAAAAGGATGACTAGAATAACTGAAATAAATAATATTAGGTTCCTGCACAACTTGGCCATAGGCAGGCAGGTCTTTCATCGCATATCTCATTAGAGTTGTGTGCCTCTAGGTCCATCATGATTGTCATTTCAAGGAACAGATGTGGCACATGTTCTGTGAAATGTTGCAATCACACAGTCCTCTGATACTAGCACTGTAATCTTAACCTCTATTTGGTCAGGTTGTTACAATCCACCATGGAATCTGTCACATCTGTTTTCAAGACGTGTCTTGCCAGTCACAGACATCATCATTTGACAAACCTAAGAGGTACAGCAGGAAACAAATGTGTATGCATCTAGTATAATTGTACAATTAATTTTCTTTCATGAGAGACGCATTAATGGCTTGTGTTTTTCAGAGGCCAGCTGAAGAACAAAAAGATTTACTCAATAAATGGAATGAAATGGGAACGGATGAACCAGGTATAGGTCTATAATGTATTTGGCCTTTAATGCACCCTCTGATTAAAGTGGTCCTAGAGTGAATGTATGTGCTTGGGACCAAACTTCATGGCAGTGGTAATGTGTGCCCTGTAAAAGAAGAAAACACATAAATGTTAAAGTTAAAAGTTAAAGTCCAGCCAGGAAAGTTTCCCTCTGTAAACAATACCCAACAACCACTTCTGATAATTGCTACGAAAATAAACCCTAATCTATATGCCCCAAATACTCTCCGAAATTCTGACTCCGTAGTCTTTTCTCTTCATTGCTGCAGAGTGACAAGGTCCTCTTTCAGGTGTCTACGTCACTCCTGGGTGACGTGGAAATTTGTCTGGCTGTAGGGCAGAGACTCTACCCCCGCATCGTCCTTACGCCTGTCCCATAGATCTAATCCCGGGCAGTCCCATTCCCACTGGAAGAATTTACCCGCTCTCGCAGCCTGAATTGGCTCACCTTAAAGTCTACCTAGATGATGACAATCTAAAGAGAGGTTTTATTAGACCCTCCACCTCCCCTGCGAGTGCGGGAATGTTCTTTGTGAGGAACAAGGACGGCTCACTCCATGGGATACTCCCAGGTCCTAAAGGCTGCAGAGGTGGCTTGATGTCATGGTGAGAGGGGGATGGCAAAGAAGGTTGGTGGTGGGCCAGTAATGCAGTGCTGGATCACCAGTCTCCACTTGTAGAAAAGGCACTGGCAAGGGATAGGGTGGAAGGTGGAGTCAGATAAGTGCTGCATTATTATTAGGAGGCTCATAGTCAAGCAAATATTAAATAATCTACTCGGAAAGTTAGACCGTATGGTGCATTTATCACAGCTGATGAGCAGGCTTTTATGTAGATTACATTGAACTGAAGTCTTGCATGAGCTTATGAAATGTAGCATTTAGTTTGCATCATCAATTTCATTCTGTTTTAGTTTAGTTTGTGCTTTGTTTTCCAGACTTAGCCCTTTTTAGACCCGTGTATGCACCTAAGGATTTTCTTGAGGTATGTAAATACTGTAAGAATAAAATGTTTAACGATTACATAGAGAATTGGTTAGATATTTGGACAACTGCCTCTCAAAGCTTTGCCATTATAATAACCATTGAGTAGCTCGCACCTTCCAGAATGCAAAATACACAACCCTATATAACCCAATATATCTTCATGAATGTCCAGAAGCACAAAGAATCTGGATCCACATCTATCACCTGATTAAAATATACGTCATCAAAATTTACATCAAAATCCCTGGGAAGTTCTACTTCATAAACCTGCTTTGCCTCTCACCAAGAATGAGCACAAGCATGTCGCCTTTATCTGTCTGTATTTAACTACTGCACTTGAAATGAAATTTGTGTACTTTTTCCTTATAGGTGCTTATTAATCTTCGTAATCCTAACTATGATACTGACCAGACAAGTTTTAGGGCTCAACTTGGTCTGATTCCAGTTCAATTTAAAATTAAGGACATCCCAGAACTGGTAAGTCATAGTAGAAATAAGTCTCTGTTCTGCTCCAGGTACCTATTCACCCCCAGTACAGTCTGGTTACAGCACAGAGCTATAGCCTGCATGCAGTGCAATGTCATTTGATGGGTAACAAAAAGAATAGGACATTTTACTGTAGATAGACCTTTTACATTTTATTTTAGCACTTTATAAAACTATATAAGTTGTAGACTGATTACATTTGCTGATGCATTTTAGTTAGATACATGCTTCTTTTCTGAATTATCTCATCCTTCCATATATTAAATGGCATAGGCTAAAGTATTTACTAGAGGTGTACCGAAATGGAGATTTTAAAACCGAAATAAAAAAAATTGCCCTGATATTTCCCTTTAAAATAGAAAAAGAGATAGAGGACACAAAGTCCTCTATCTCTTTTTCTGTGTCCCCTGTTATCAATGAACAGGAATCCTCTATGAGTGTTCCTGTTCATTGATAACATGAGGACAGAGTATGTTTACATCTAACCACAATCATGAATGAACAGGAGGTGATGTAGATCACTTCCCATTCATTCATAATTGAGGATATAGTTAACATACCATGTTCTCAATTATGCACAAACACTCAGCGATCACTGATCACTGAGTGTTTGTAACTTGCTCTCCTCTCTGACACGCTGTCACAGGAGTCTAAGCAAGCGGAGCAGGGAGGAGAGCTCAGCCTCCTGTGACAGCGTGGCCTGTCTCCGCCCACACACCGCTCTGCCGGACTGTGATAGGAGGCTGAACGGTGTGGGAGTAGAGACAGCGGCCGCTCACAGCGCTCTCGTCCCGCAGTGCTCGGCAGGCTGTCACACAGGCTGGGACACAGAGCAGCGCCCAGCGGGGAAGAGAGAAAGCAGGGATGCTCCACTGTATCGGCAGGAAAATTGCACTTTCGGCATTATGCCGAAAGTGCCATTTTTGGCCGATATATCGGTGCATCCCTAGTATTTACAGTTTGTTTTTAATTTATTTGTGTGAAGAGGGCTTGCTGATATAAAATGCTTTAGACTCTTTTTGCATACACTGCTTCTCTAGGAGTTTGCTGTGTTAAACTTTGCATTGATAGCAGTTACAACCAAGGTAGTGGGAATCCAGAGGTCGTTTTGTTATCTTTACTCATGGTCACTATCAAATAAATACATATATAGTTATTAATGCCTACAAATGTGATTTGCATGCATATTAGTATACAATATTTGTTATTTACCTACCTAAAAAAATATTATATTTGTTAAAAGTTATTTTTAGTCCTTACCATAATATATAAATATTTAAGAAAACATTATACATTCCTATAGGCATTAGCAGCCTAGTGCATTAGGGTGTGCACACAAAAATACAAACACACACGTGTCCACCCGCCCGGCTTCCTGATTGGATGGGAAGCCGAAGCCACGCTCCCTCACAGCTTCCCAGGCACTGAGGACTGCAGCTGTTATGTGAGGTATATAAGTGGCAAGAGCTCTGTGCTCTGTTTTGCTGAGCTTGTCACAGAGAGATCTTTGTGCCCTCTCCACCAGCTCAGTGACTAAAAACACGGAGCCTACTGTTGCGGTTTCGGTGTTGCGCTTAGGGTGATTAGGCTGTGCCCAGGCACACCCTGTGTGCACGCCTATGCACATTCCCTTTAAGTAATAGGGAAGCTCATGGTGGTCGCAGTGCTAGTTTAAAACAACACTAAACTCAGGAGCTAAATCTTAAAAATGCATTCAAGTACCATAACTAACAAAAATTTAATTTATTTGTGTATCACTCAGCTGTAGATCCTCAAATCATCTCTGAATTCATGCTGACACCGTCCTTCCTTCTGGTGACTACTCCTGTGATGGACTACAATCTCAATACAAATTACTAAATTAATGTAAGATTCTAGGCAATCACAGGAGCGAGCTTGGAGCGGTGACTACTTTACAACACACGCAGGTACCATGGGAACCAAAAGTAGTCACCCTCCAGAAGGAAGGACAGTGTCGACACCAATTCAGAGATGATTTGAGGATCTACAGCCGAGTGATACACAAATAAGTTTCAGTTGATGAGGGTGCTCTCCGCCCACCTTACAGCAATCCCGGCCAGTAAGAATGATGGTGCTAGTAGTGACTACCACGGATGGCACCGTGCAAAGTACGAAATGAAAAAGCAGGTCACCAGCACTCAAATTATTTAAATAGATATGTCCTTTTTAATGGACAATTATGTCACGACAATAAACAAAGCTGACGTTTCGGGGCCGCGCAGGGTCCCTTCTTTAAGGCAGATAGATGTGACAATGTGATAGTATTCATGCACCACATATATACCCCATAAAACCAGTTAATCATCAATAGCCACACCCCTGTGATGTCAGAATTGCGGGAGAAAACGCCATATTTAAAAATCAAAATATCATTTAAAAACAGCATATTCAAATTCACAAAGATAGTTAATGAACTGTACCCACAATCTGATGATCCAAGGAAGCGCTGTGGTGGTAGAGTGTCCGACATCGCTACTGCATATATGCACGCCGGTGTGGTGCATGAATACTATCACATTGTCACATCCATCTGCCTTAATGAAGGGACCCTGCGCGGCCCCGAAACGTCGGCTTTGTTGATTGTTGTGACATAGTTGTCCATTAAAAAGGACATATCTATTTAAATAATTTGAGTGCTGGTGACCTGCTTTTTCATTTGATACACAAATAAGATATATTTTTGTTACTAGTTAGGTACTTGAATGTATTTTTATGATTGTATTTTTGAATGTATTTTTATGATATGAGTTTATTGTCACTTTAATTATCTAGACCTATTGGCAGCTATCTCAATTTCTGTATAGACCTGGAAACTTTTACATGCTTATTATGATTAATATTATTTTTAAATCTTTTTTTTTTTGTAAAGTAATTCGTATTTTCGGCTATTTTAACCTTAATGTCTAAGTATTATTAGTATTGCTCTTCACAATATGGAGTAAGGGCTTTGTGGATTATACCACCCTCCTACATGGTAGCAGCTGTATTTTTCAGCTGCCCTAAAGCTGTCATTTGAATATCTGTACAGTCTGTCATTTTTGATCTCTGGGATTTAATGCACTCTCACCTTTTGAGAAAAACAGCATCAATGTAATGGAAGGACGTTCATTCACCACTACGTAACCTCCAAGCATACGGTCAACTAGTGACTAGGGCTATGGACTGACCAGGGTCAGAGGGATTTACCGATGAGTTGAATAGGAGAGCTGGTATGTGGTAATATGATTCTGGAATGTTTGATAGTTTGAAATCCAAGCCATTTTCTTGGGTATTCTTAGCTGAGGGATGAACACAAGTTCCTGACAGGGACCAACAAGTTCACTTTAGCATTGCCGTATCAAGAAGCTTGAGAATGTTTTTGTACTTTAATTTGTGATAGTGCCTTGCTCAGTAAAAAGTTATACACGTGAATTGTCACTTCACAGCGAAACACTCAACCTCTTTAGTGCAGAGGAACTAGCCATGCTTTCCTTTTGCCATCAAAGAAGTATTATATTTTAATTTAAAGAAAAATTACCCCTGTCTAAACCAGCCCTTTTGACAAATGTGCGTGTTGTGAACTTTTTAAATGTTCCATAACTTCACAATTACTGTTTAGGACATCATCCCAGTAATGTATTTTATGCTAAAAATATAAAGCAAGATTTTTTTTCCACTAGATTTTCTTTTCTTAATGGATCATGTTTAGTTTAGATCAGTGGAGTAACCAGAGTTATGGGCGCCCGGGGCAGAACATTTTTTTCGCCCCCCCCCCATATTATATAAACATCCACTGGAACTGTACCCCCCACCCCCACACATATATATCAGCTAAGGAACTACAAGTCCAAGCATGCCATCATTGTCCCTGTACACCCCCCCCCCCCACACACACACATATCACCCAGGGAACGGCAATATCTGGTTGTTGTACAGGGGCAATGAGGGCATGCTGGGACTTGTAGTTCCCTAGCTGATATGTTATGAAGCTGTATTCCACCTGAAAGTACTACAATTACATTATAGAACTAAGAATAGAACATAAAATAAAACTTTTTTTTTCTAATACTCACCTGATTCCTGGATCCACCGACAAGCGCAGCCTCCCGTCTCCCACGCTGTTAGAAGTTGCATACAGCGTGTGCTGGTTACTACTTAAACCGGCGCGTGCAGTGTGCAGCTTCTGAGGAGATACGCTATTAGCATAGCGGGGAAGGCGGCTGCGCATTTTGCATCACTCCCGCTACGCTAATAGCGTATCTTCTCAGAAGCTGCACACTGCGCATGTGGGTTTAAGTAGTAACCAGCACACGCTGTATGCAACTTCTAACAGCGTGGGAGACGGGAGGCCGGGCTTGTTGGATCCAGGAATCAGGTGAGTAGTATTAAAAAAAAAAAAGTTTTATTTTATGTTCCCGGGGGCATTTAAAAATGTCCCCGGATTTTATTTTTAAAAAATGTGTCACCTTACCTTAGCCTGGTGGTCAGTGGGGGCTTCCTGGACCCTGGTTGTGGGAGGTCTGCCGTGGACCCTGGTTGTGGGGGGGGGGTCTGCCATGGCCGCAGGTGCAGTGTCTCCTTCCCTCATGCACATGCACCCGGCTGGCCAGCCTGCCCGCATCAGACGCGGCTCTGTGTGGGTGGCCGCTCACTCCTCCGAGGCCCCAGCTGGCGACTCTCTACAGTGCCTGATTGGAGAGCCGCGTCTGCCTGATCCAGCCAGCCCGGATCGCCGCTTATTTAGTTTTGTTGTTGTGAAAGGGTATCTTTATTGATAAGTGATGTGTGTAAGTTCCTTTGAAACTGCTTATAAGTTTAAATATAGGGATGCCAGTTCAAAGACCAATGTTTTTATGTTATTAATTGCATTGAAAGCGGTCCTTTTCTTCTTGTTTATTTGCATTGTAGTGGGCCATTAGCTTAAGTGCGCCATCTTGAGAAATGCATTTTCCTGTTGCCTGAAAGCATGGGCAGCTGCTAACCAGCAAAACCATTTACATTCCTTTGTGTCTTGTTCCTGGCTCGAATTATTACGTATCTGTTATAAGTGATCTGTATAGCGGTAAACATCTTCTGCTGCTGGGACAGGATGAGGTTGGTTGAGTAAAGTGCCTGTGAGAGGCTTCACGTTTGCATGTATAGTAAGCTATTTCTAATAAAAATATGGTGCTCAGCACTGTTGACCTTTTTCTGAAAATACTAGTAATTTAGCTGGTATGCTGGCTTCTTCAAGTATACATAACAAGCAAGTCAAGTCAGAAGTCCTCAATTTCAGTTCAACAGTTCAAGTATCGAAGCCAAAAAGACAGCACAACAGCCAGTAATCTGGCAATTGCAGAATGAAAAGTTAACAATGGCAGCCTCAGGAAATATTTCCTCTATTAATACATCTGAGTGGAAATACACTTAGTTAGATCAGTATAGTAGCTTTGCCACACGTGGATTCTTTGAAAGCAACTACAAATGGGAGGTAACGTTTCCGTACTTCAGATGGCGCCTGCTGTAAATCAGAACATACCCTCCTTCTAATAGAATTCTCTTTGAAAACAACACATTATAAGTTGAAATATGCTTTTTTTGAAAGCCAGATAGGTTACAGACAACATTAATCAGATGAAACAATACATTGGAAACCATTTTGAAAAATACTAAATGACTAGGTATCAGCCTACACTATTTCACTATTTCACTTTTGGCTGAAAACATGATTATTAATGTATCATTTTACAGTATTGATTATGAGATTAATTACATGGCTGTATATATTCCAGGGAGTGTTACATATTTTGTCTTTTAAATCCAGAGAGAATTCTTCGGGGAACTTAACCTAAACATAGGTCAGCTGGGAGTGGATGACTCTACACCAGTCCCACCAGGTAAGTTTCGTGTTCTCTCTCAGGCCCGCTCCTCTGCTGCTTGACAGCAGGCAATGGGCGGGTGCAATAGCAATCCTGCTATTGCAATCTGAAATATCCGGTGGGGGGGTGGGGGGAAGGGGCGCACACTAGAGGCACTGGATGTGGGGGCACACTGGAGACACTGTTTGCTGCTGCAGCACTGTCGGCACATATCAGTAATATCGGTATTTAAGATGGTATTTAAGACCGATACCAAATATTTTGAAATTTGTGAATTTCGGCCATAATAATTGGTAGATCCGATAATCGGTTGACCCCTAATTTCAATACATCCCCACTCCATACAAAACTAAAAAAAAAAAAAAAGTTTTCCCTGGACATACACTTAAAAGCTGAAGTCCAGGGAGGTAAAAAAGACACAAATGATTGCTGCTCTGTATTCATTTACAGATAAGTATTTTTTTTAATGCAAGCAAGTAAGTATCTGATTCTGACCTGTTATCAGCCTCTGCAATCCCTGTACAACAGTGCTCTGACTGGAAGAGGGAGAAGCAGCACAATGAGCCAATCAGTTGTCCTGCATTGCTCATATTGCTAACAAGGAGCATGTTGATGGGAAAGGAGATCAGACAGTTGAGTGGATCAGTCTGCTGCTTCTCCTTTCCCTGTCCAGTCTGGCTTGGGGAGGGATAAGACCTGTGAATGTTGCATAACTGCAGTAGAGAAAATGTGATAAAACAGCTCCCACATATGTTAGCCCAAGAAAATGTAACCCGTGTATTTAGTTCTTTGCCTGGAGTTCAGCTTTAAGATATCATTATGTGAGACGTGTCAAAACGATTCAATTTGTATCAACGTAATCTGAGAAATGTATCAGTGAAGATGGTGACATTTCGGTTTAATTCTTGATTACAGTTGAGCAATATGTATTGAGAGACCCCAATGTCATTTAACTTTTTTTTCTTTGATTTCAAGAATTGTTCGAAAATGAATACTTGCGCATTGGAAAGAAAAGTAAGTGATGTTCACTGCTTTGTCCTTTGTCTTGTAGAATTGTCTCCTGGATATATTGTTACTTTTATAGATGAAAACAATCAGCTGTTATAAGAGCTGAAATAAGAACCCAGCAAATGAAGCGATTAAAGGATCAGCAGAGAGCCATCAAATATTGTTCTCTTTGGGAGTTAATACACATGTCCTGGGGTGAAACTTCATTTATTTTGCTGTCTGCAAAGTTTGCAGCTAATCTTTTAATTGCTGTCCTTATTGCCACTCATATCATTTCTTTATGTATTGTTGGAATATTGTCACATCTAAGACCGTTTAAGACCATTTGTAACACAGCTTGTCCTCTGTAGTGACATATCAGCTCTAGGAGGGGAGGGAGACTACACATTTGTACTGTGTTTTTCAAATATGATTCTCGATAATGAAGTAAAATTAAAGCCATAATATCCATTGACTGACCATAGAAATGTGTCAACCTATATGATCAAGGTTGTCAAGTGCAAATACTGAGTCACTGAACCAGGACGGGTATGCAGACCTGTCTTTTCTGATTTCCACATTTGTTATGGGTTAGTCACTTAGAAAGTATTAAGGCTAGTGGGTTAGTATAATCCTCAGTCAGTTCGCCTATTCAGAAGAAGGTCAGCAAAGTTAGCTCTCATTAAAATACTTAAATACATATTTAAACAAGAACTCCGGGATTTTGAAAAGTTAACCCTTGCAGTGGAGCTACCCCCCCGCACTCCAAGGGTTAACTGTTCAAGGAGCAGTTTTGCTAATGTGCAGACGATTGCAGAATTACCTTGGCATGCAGGGCAGATCCAGGTATTATTTAAAGCGAAACTCCATGAAGTTGAAAAGTTAACCCTTGCCGTGGGGCTACCTCCGCACTACAAGAGTTATTGTTTCACATTCCTGGAGTTCTGCTTTAAATAATAGCTGAATCTGCCCTGCATGTTAAGGTTCTTCTGCAATCCTCTGCACATTAGCATCCAGACTGTGAAAGGAAGCCATCTAAGCCTTATTGCTTTGCACAGTGCTTTGAATCTAACAAACTCTGCTGATTGGATTAGAGAGTACAGAGATGAACTCTTGAATAAGTCGCTGTTCCCTCATAATCCAGTCACAGACTTGACCAAGCTGCATTGCTTTGACTGCAGTGGATGAAAGTAAATGGTCAAAACCTTTTCATGACGTTTCAACTATAAAATTAGCTGGACAGAACTATACATTTCTCTATCGTTGTAACACTTTCCTGTGCATTAATCTGGTGATGGGTTTTACCCTCTGTCTGAGGTGCTCGGCTTCCAGCCAATCTGCTCTCAACTTCTTTGTTAAAAGGCTAGTACACCTGTTACCTGACGTTCGAGCACCAGGTTAAAACACTAAGGCCCCATTCACACTGAGAGATTCGCAAATCGCGCGTTTGACGTGCGATTCGCATGTTGCGCGATATCGCGCAAATGCTTGCATTGAGCAAGCTAGAATCGCGGCAAAATCAGCTCCAAAAAGGGTCCTGCTGTAGCGACACACGACCCGCGATAGCGACGGACAGAGCCCCATTGCCATGCATTGGAGAGCGATATCGCGCGGTAAATAGCCGCGATATCGCGGGAATTACCGCGCGATAAATCGCTCAGTGTGAATGGGGCCTAACTGCTGGACACCTTGTGTTTCATGAAGCTTGCTCCCTGTTTCCTGAGGATTCCTGCGAACTGCTATCTTATCTGCATTGCTGAGTTTCCTTTGGACTCTTTTTGCTCCTAGTGAGATCCTGCCCTTCCTGCAAGAGAACTGTTATCGCAGTCTTCAATGCACTGTCTGTGCTGCATGCACCTGTGTATTACCTGTGAGTTTCCACTCTCCAGGTTCTATGTGGCTACATTTTTCTGTCAGCCTGCTTCTTCTGTGTATCCTGACTAGCCATGCTGTTATAGACTCTCTGCTTTGCGTTTCCTAGTACTCTGATGTATGGACTCCTGCCTCTGAGAACTTCTGCATCGGGAAGTCCTGATCAGTAGTGTTTAAACAGACTTTTACCCTGTCTGCCATTGTATCCTGGAACTCAGGGCTGCAACTGTTCCATGTGTTTCCTCTGCAGGATTCTGGTGGCTGTGCCTGCACAGGTGTGTTAGAGGGACACAACCTGGCAGCTGTTCTGCAGCGAAGTCCATCTCCCTTTGTAGGGGGCTCTGGTAAACACCTGGTGCTCCTTAGACTCTGCACCTCTCTCACACCCCTGCTAATTGTGCAGTTACCCTTGCTTTCCCTGTGTCCTGAGACCCTGTTGCCTCTATGGCGTCTGCCTGTGCCTGGCTACTATGTAAAAACCCCGGAGCCTGCATCTTCTGTGAATACAGTCCCCTGACCATGACATTCATCCATTGAGGGACACAGCTCTGAAATATTCTGAGACGTAGGGTTATGCTGCTGCCTCCAGGAGAAATGGACACTAGGCAAAAAATTAAAAGCCTGAGACTTTAAGTACATAACCCCTCCCACCACACACCTGCCAGTTTCACTTAGTGTCCTCAGGAGAATGGATGTGTCTTTCTGTTCTGGTTTATCATTTTAATTTGTTTTGTTTCTTGATTGAAATTCTCCTATAAATTCATGCTGAACATTATTAAATCTTGTTAGATTTTTTCTAGCTATCCGACATAATTTGGTAGATTCATTCTGGATAAGATTAAATCCTGGATGTTTCTCTAGTTATCCAGAAGCAAGTTGTTTCTAGTCTCAATGCTGAATATTTGTCCTGCGGTTGTCCTGAGTTCCTGATGTCATCTCTTAACGCTCAGGCCAGTATTAAATGGGGATTACTGTTACTGTACATGGGACCAAGGCTGTGGATTTTTGAGTAAATGTATTTACTTAATGTAATAAAGGTTGGGTGCTTTCCCTCCTTTTATTTACTTTGACTTTTCTATTTTTTGTTTTTCTGAATCCTCATAAGCTAAATGCTTCTATAAAAAAATTCCCTACTGTCTCTTTAAGAGGCCAGGACATGGCTGTGACGGACTGAACCGTCACTGGGGCTGCTGGAGGAGCCCGAGGGCTAGCCTCCTTCCTACGGACTATGGACCCAGAACTATGGAGACCCCCCTCAGACCTCTTGGGGTTACATGGAACCATTCTCCTAGGATATGTGTGGAGTGGGTATACTGCATGTTTCCCCCGACATTACAGACACACACCACTGTGTTTATTATAGGCAGCAGGCTATCTGGAGGGGCCATTGTTTACAGTGATGGGATTAAGCTCTTCTCTAATTAAGACAATGCGGCACCTGGCTGTCTGGTGGAGGGGACACACTGAACTCTAATCTGATCCTGTGAGGTATAAACTCTGTGCGCTCTTCCTCAATAAAGCAGTTCTTGGTTTCCTCTTCAACATTGGTGTTGTCTGATGATTGAGGAGGTTAGCGTTCTGTCCTAAGATATTGGTTCTGTCCAATAATTAGGCAGGTGGGCTGCGGAGACTGGAATTCAGGTTCCAGCGGGGAGGAAGGTGATTTCTGACGGAGGTACCCAGTCGGGGTACCAGGCGGTCCGTCACAATGGCTATGATGATGCATTCGAATTTACAACTGTGCGTGCGTGTGCATATGCGGCATCACATTCTGGATCCAGAGCGGTTTACAGAGACCAGCGGTGGTTTTGGCCCTACTATTACTATTTCTTCTGATTTCTTTCATTGCATTTGTTTACCAAGGAGCGAAATGGGGGTTATTCACTCTGCTGCCAGAGGCAGCAGAGTGAATAACCGATCTGTAGTGAAGGGAGCCGAACCCCGTTCGGCTATTCCCTTCAGCACTGTATGGCTGAAAATGACAACATATAGGCAGAGCCAGGAGTGATGTCACTGCTAGCTCCGCCTATCTGTTGACATTCGGCCGCCAACTGTCAAATTATTCATTTTGACAGGTGCTGGAGTTCGGGTTCAGTCAGAGGGCTTTTGGGGGAATTCCACTCATTTAAAAAAATTTTTTTTTTACTGGAAGTCCCACCTAACATTCATATCCGATCTAAAGGGTCTGGTATGGTTTGGAAGGGAGACCCCCACCCCCACTTCGGCTGTGTGTTCTGCTATTGTGATTAGCCAATACAACAGAAGGCTTCCCGCAGCCGAAGCAAGCCGAAGGATTAGCCGAAGGTTCGGCTTAATCCTTTGGCTCGTTAGGGAATAACCCCCTATATAACTCTCCTATTTCTCATCTTAAAAAAGCATTGACTATTTCTATTGATGATGCTCCTTTGTTTGAGGATCGACAAGATAATTTGAGAATCTTTCTCATATCATTTATTCTTTAACTGGTTTGGCTCTTCAACCATTGTTGGCTACTGTCCTTATTTATCAGACTTTTGCCACTTAGATAAAAAAAGGTGATGGAAGTACATTCAATCTTGTGCGGAACTTCATGTTTCAGCAATTTCAGTGGTGCACATCCCAGGATTTGAAAACTGGCAGGCGGATTTTCTCAGCATACAGCATTTGGATTCAGGCAAGTGGTCTCTTCATCCATAGGTGCTTCAACAATTTTGACAGTGCTGGCGAACACTGGACCTTCTAGCTTCTCTCCACATCAAAAAGATGGACAGATTTGTTTCCAGAGCAAGAGATCCAACGGCGGATGCGGTAGATGGCTTATTTGCTCCGTGGAATTGAAATACACACTAATGTATGCCTTTCCTCCACTGACACTGTTGCCTCATCTGCTTCACAGGATAGAACACAAAGAATTCCAGTCATTCTCATCGCTCCAAAAAGCTTGCAGGGTGTGGTATGCTGACCTGGTTTATATGTTGGCAGCAGAGGATCCATGGTTTTTCCAGATCAGCCAGATCTGTTGCCTCAAGGGTCAATCTTCCACCCTTCTACTCGGTCATAGCTGTTGAAACCCAAAATGTTAAAAGACAGAGGAATTTCAGATTCTGTTATTCCTACTATGCTTAAGACTTGTAAGATCTTCTGCTCATAAAATGTATCACCATACATGGAAGGTAGTAGTATACGAACAGACCACACTATCCAGAGAATTCCAATACTTCAGACTTTATTGAAATTCACATCAAATCCAGTATAACAGTGAATAAAAATAAAAGTGTATAAAGCAACAAATACCAGTACTGCACACCCCCAACCACCTACAACCTCTCACGTGGAGACGCACCTACTAGACCAGCGCCTGGGGAGCCCTGATGGCGGCTAAGGAATTGGAGCAGTGAGATTTCCTTTGGCTCTACACCATACATGGAAGGTTTATTTTTGTTAGTGGGAGTCCTTGGGGTTTTGCCCACGTGCTTTTTCTATATTGCGTATTCTGTATTTCCTTCAACTTGGGGTCGATCAACGTTTATGGGAGTTACACATGTGGCCCCTCCTGAGAGGTCTCTTCTTTCTCCATGGAACTTGAGCTTGGTTTTATCTGTATTATAAAACCTTCTTTGCAACCCGTCTGAGAAATTTATTTGTCTTTGTTATCCAAAAAGGTTGTCTTTTTTGTGGCTATTACCTCGGCTAGAAGGGTTTCAGAGTTGTCTCCTTTGTTTTGTAGAGAACCCTATTTGGTTCTTCATAAGGACAAGGTTGTTTTGACACCGCAGGTTTCCTTTTTACCCAAGGTGGTTTCGTACTTTCATTTAAATAAGGACATAGTTTTGCCTTCTCTTGTCCAGTTCCCATTCATCTGAAGGAAATTTCTCTTCATTGTTTGGATGTTGTGTGGGCTATTGGAGTTAATCTTTCAGCCACAGCTTCCGTACATAAAGATTTTTTCTAGATCCACTATTTCTAATTGGATTCATCAGGTTGTCATTCAAGCTTATGAGTTGTGGGATTTGGTACCTCCTTTTCCTGTTTCTGCTCATTCTACTAGGGCAGTTAATACTTCTTGGACATTTCAAAATCAAGCTTCTGTTACTCAAATTTGCAAGGCCACAACTTGGTCTTCTGTTCCCAGTTGTATAAAGTTGATGTTTCTGCCTTTTCTGATGCTAGTCTTGGCAGAAATGTTCTTAAGACCGCTGTTTAGATATATTTGCAGTTCCTTTATTTGTTGTTGAACTGTTTTTTTTAGTTGTTGTGGTGCCCGCCTCTCGGTTTTGGAATGCTTTTGAATGTCCCTACGTTTTAGAATTCTTCTGAGCTGTATCCCTCAATGGATGAGAAAATAGGATTTTGTTCTTGCCGTAAAATCCTTTTCTAGGAGTCCATTGATGGACACAGCTCCTTCCCCTAATTTCCTTCATACTGCTTGCTACAGCTGGCAGGTGTGAGTAGGGTTGAGTTATGCCCTTAAAGTACCAGGCTTTTAATTTTTTGCCTAGGGTCCATTTCTCCTGGAGGCAGCAGTATAGCCCTGTGTCTCAGAATTCTTCAGAGTTGTGTCCCTCAATGGATTCTGAGAAAAGGATTTTACAGTAAGAACAAAATCCTATTTTTGTGGCAGGTAAGATATATTTGCAATTCAACTGTGTGTTAGGTTTACACTGTACACACTACAAATGTACACTAGTACTAGAGAAAGCAGTATATATTGCACAGCACAGATAAGACTAATGTTCGATCTGTTATCCTAAAGCCTATAAATCACTAAGCCTTGAACAATGAAAAAGGTTACAATGCACAAAAGTTACTTTGTTATTTTGCTTCTTCAATTCTAGTTCTAGAAGAGCATGACAGTGCTGCAGCTCAGCAGTATGTGCGCCAGGGATGCCCAACAGCCTTCCGTGCTGAATTATGGGCACTCATCTTGAATATCTCAGACCAATCAGAGGTAAGATACATACCATCCAATCTATCATAGGTAAGAATGGAATACAAAAGGGGTTGCAAATATTGATTTTAGGGCTGATTTGTAAGGGAGAGATATTTGCTCTCTACTATACTCTGCATTGTAAGTCCACACCACAGCCCACATTTTACGGCTCATTCATATATGTAGTAGAGAGTGCTCCATGATTTGAGGAAAGTCGGCCATGTAACTTTCCTATTTAATAAATCTGCGCTCCTACATCTATCTTATCCACTAAAAACAAAACACCCCCAATAAGCAGCAAGTGTAGTAGTGCATAGAATCACCGTATATAACAAAATCCCCAATCACACTGCGCTTGTATAAAATAGACAATTATATACTCACATATAAGGTAAAGTGCATAACAAGAATAGTGTCCAATTGATTTCAAGACCTTGCAATATTAGAAAAAAATGTCCACTTAGTTCACCAAACTTCCATGCTAAAGTGCATCCCAATAATGCATATGTAAACAGTCCAGGTGTGCGTCACATAACACCCAAAACACACTTGGTGCTCCCTGTGTGAAAAGATCCAGAACCAGACTTGATGGACCAAAACATAATGGTCAGGTAACGCTCATAAACGTCCCCAATATCAATCGCTGCTCACAGATATCTTAAAGCAAGCTGCAGCAGTAGCACAAAATAATAAAGTGTAGTCAAATTGTTAACCCTTTCAACAGTTGGTCTCTTCTGTACAGTATGTCAGCTCCATTCTATAGCTGCTCTAAGCTGTACCATAACCCCTTCACCTCCCTTATCCTGCACATCTGTAGACCAGTATACCTCCTTCACCTCTGTCTCCCCCTGTGTATGACCTGTACATTTATTACATCTTGTGCACCATTATTGAGATGTTTTGATAACCTCAATACCAGCATGTTTCTTCCTTTAAAAAGATTTGTGGCAAAAAAACAGATCAACCTTGGAGTGCCTAATTTCCAGAAAGTGGTAATTTTAGGGGTTTTTGTACTGTTCTGGCATCTTTATTTGTGGTTATTTGTGGCATCTTTGGTTGTGGTTTAAGTGGTTATTAAATACCATGCAAGGAAATTACTATCTGTTGTGTCGCCGGTAATTCTCAGTCAAACTATCACAGCACTGAAAACTACAAAATGGCCTGTTAATGAAGGAGGTTTAACATGCTGGTCCTGAAGTGGTTAAAGAGAAAGCTCTATGGTAAAGCTAAGGCACTTGCTTCATTTAAATAAAAAACAATGCCTTGAATACAGCTTTAAAACTGATTTGCACTGAAAGAGACTCATTTATTACAAATACCACTATTCTGAGAATGTGGTATTTTGCAATTCCTGGTGCTGTCTCTCTGCAAGCTGCCTAAAGCTGGCCGCACACTTAGAATTGAGTGTAAGATTTTTCACTCGCCTCCCCCATCCACACTAAAGAGCGTGGATGGAGGAACCTCTCCTGCCAGCTATTGTATCCTGACAGCCGGCACCTAATACACAAACAGTAACTGCAGCTCATTGACTGCAATCACTGTTCAGCCAACAACTTTCTACCCGGCTCCTTCCTTGGCTGATTCAACCCTGTTATAGTTTTTGGGAAAAAAAACTTTAATTTTTTTCCATGTTAATTGTGATATCTCAAGTAAATCCTTTAAAGTAAACCAGACATGTATAGTTGTACTGGCAACACTGTGCAAGCTCTTTCAAATTTATAAATAGAATGGGGGGGAATTTATCAAAACTGGAGCAGCTGTGCATGACAACCAATCAGCTTCTCTCTTCAGTTTGTTCAGTTAAGATTTGAAATGAAAAAGAGTTTTTGTCTGCTCCAGTTTTGATGACTTCCATTCAATGTGTTTAATGATACATAATGAAGAGAGCACATTGATGTAAACAGATTTATCAGTTTGTGGTAATATTGTATTAACATTGTTTCTCTGTACAGATATAATGTGTATATGTGCATAGGGCAGTCATATTTCATATTTCATCATTACATACACAGGTTCTGCTTCTTGCCTAACATTGCTACTACACATTGGTTGTGCTTTTGAATAGAATAAGGGAGGGTTATAACCCTTGTCAGCTTTTTTTTCATCTGTGTCCCATTGGGGAGATTTTCCTTCACTTTCTGTCCAAAAGCCACAATGGGAAGTGAGAGGAAATAGCTTCAAAGTAAGGGAAATCCCTGGTGGTCACCAGGATCACCAGAACTAGTGTCCCCATTGGAGGATTTTCCATCTATTCCTGTTCTGATGACAACCCAAAGTTTGGGAATTTCTTTCATTTTCAGTGAAAATGGTCCCCAGGACAAATAGAGAGGGTGAATCTCCCTAATGGGGACACCGAGACCAATTAACGGCCGAACAGATGTTATAATTCCTCTGCATTTTATCCACAAAAAAAAATGTTTCGGCTTTAGTTGCAATTTAACAGTTAAACCTTAACAATGACCTTCTCTTATTTGCTTCATTTTGGTCTTCCAAAAAAGCCATTGAAAACATTTTGTTATCTGTTTGATTAGTGCAAAAAATGACATGTTCAGTGCTGTGTTCTGTGCACTCCACAATGTAATCTCAAGCATCGTCAGCCCTGCTCAGTTCTCTCTCTGACCTACAGACAACCTCCTCCATCTTATGGAAATGAGGTGAGTAATAGGCGTTCTGTAGTCCTAACACACTTCCTGTCCTATGGAGACAACACTACTTCTAACTACAGTACATTAAGGGAGTGTTGTTACACTAGGCCAGGAAGTGTGTTACTGGCAGGATCACCAGGTACAAATAAAGAAAAAAAAGCTTGAAAAAGAGAAATCTGATGCAGATACCACATCTAAGGGCTAT